AGGGAAGTCCCCCCTGACAGAGTCCCTCTCTGTTCTACAGAAGGCTCGCAGGCAGCAGGACTCGGACGAGGAACAGGACGATCAGGACTGGGACGGTAAGCTGGACACACTTACAGAATGTGAAAATCATATCAGATTCTTTAAATTATTTCATCAGTTTATTTATTCCCAACCTCTTGTTTACCAAGAGCTTGATGACCGTCTGTCATCAGGGCAATTTTGACTGTTTCACTGTGCACTGAAGCTACATGTAGGTGTTACTGCTCACTGTTGTGTTAGACATAAACAATATAGTTGTGGTAAACAATACTGAACTCCAACTCTACTACTGGATAAAAAACAAAGATTACTTCCAGACACTTTGAGTGACATTATATTGTCTTCACAGACACAGTACTTTGTTCCAACACCAAAAAGGAATGCAATTAAGTTGCCATAATCTAATTCAAGGGCAATCATAACTGCATTTTCCTAAAGTGTTAGTTCAGGAATGCACCTTGTGATATACATGATGATGAGTGTAGTCTGTGGTTCTATGTCCCACCAGAGGATGAAGGCATAACCCAGCCTCCTGTGGTCCAGTCTCCGCCCCAACCAGCTGTACAGGAGGAACCAGTCATCACACAAACAGGTGGGAGTAGTGCTGCATTCTAGTATCTAACCACAACATCAGGTACAAGTACACAGATCTGTAGAAGTCCAGATCTGTATCTGTACCTGAAGAACTTGTCCAAGTAACCGGTGATCTTCAATGATAACAGAAACATGAATAAGAATGTTTATTTAGACTTCAGATATCATATGCAAAGGACCCAAGCTTTTAACAGGGAAGGAGTGCTATGGGATGAGATTTAGGATTAAGAGGCTCCTGTAGTTTTACAACTCATCTAGTCACGTTAATGCACTATATGAAATTTTAATACTGACAATACTGACCAGGTCTTTTGCTTGTTTGAACCAGAGGAAACACATGAGGCTCAGTACCAACAGCAGTACCAGCAAGAGTACCAGCAGCAGGAGTACCAACAAGAGTACCAACAACAGGAGTACCAACAGGAACACCAGCAGCAGGAGTACCAGGAAACACAGCCAGCTCAGGACTATGTTGATGACCAGAGTCCTGTGGAGACTGGACTGAGAGCCAGAGCTCTGTATGACTACCAAGCATGTAAGGACACTACAAGCAGATATTTGATTACTGATCTCTGTCTGGACAATATACTTGCCACTGAACCAAGCATACTATACCAGTACACCCTAGATGCTACATGTATACAGTACATACTAGTAGCATTGCATATACCAGTACACCATACCGGTAGATGTTTTATACCTGCACACCACAGATGTGCGCCTACTATACCTGCAGTATACCTTACATGTACATGTATATGAAGGGATTTCATACCTGTACACCATAGATGCTACCTGTACACTCACTCACTCACTATCCGGTTTATCATCTATAGTCGTCTCTGTACACTATAGATATACTTGTATGCTCGGATACCTGACAGCATTGCATACTATACAAATACACCATAGATAAAGTGTTTCCATACCTATACACCATAAATGTATAAGGCTGGTTGAAATGTTGCTGATGACTGTTTCTCCTTTCACAGCTGCTGATGATGAAATCACCTTCGACCCTGACGACATCATCACGGACATCGAGCAGATTGACGAGGGCTGGTGGCGAGGTGTGGGGCCCGACGGGACATACGGCCTGTTCCCTGCTAACTACGTAGAGCTGATCTAAACTGTAACACTCTAACCATGTATGACTGGTATAAAACATGTCTACTTCCCTGCAGGTAGCACTGAATGGTTCATAGACATATTTATTCTTCTGTCTAGAGTTGATTCTTCAGCAGGAAAATGTCAGTAATGAAATGATTGGGAATTGATTTTATGGGGGCATGAGAACTGGAAAAAAATTTGATACAAATCTTTTTTCAGGTTTCTTCCTTTCTTGTTATGCTCTTTGTTTTTGTTTAACTATGTTGTGCAAAGTCTTGTGGTGAAAATATTTTCATCATGTGTTTCCCTATTTCTGTGTGATTTCTATTGTCTCAGAAAAGTTGAAAAGTTGTTGATGCCTGTGGATGATTGATTGAGATAACGGCACACACAACCAGACTTTAGTATGCATGGCGTAGTGGGACATCATTTTACCTTGGAGTTATCTGTGAAAGTCATATTATCATAAAATGTAAGATAAAGATTATCAGCAGCCATAGTATGACATACCATCAAAGTTGTGTAAAAAGTTTTTAACCCAGGAGCAGAAGTGTAGAATTGACAGAAGAGACCATTTTATATTAGGCACATGTAGCTACATACACATATATAGACAAGGATCTCTCCAGGCTCTTTTACCTGTAGTTGGATGATTATGTAAAATTGGCAAGGATATACGGTTTATTGTATGGGAAGCTCCTTGCTTGGTGCTGAACATTTTTCTAGCTGTTTAGACCTGCCATCATAGCTACTATTCACATATAGGTGATGAGTTGTCACAGGTCTCAATGATGGCAGTTGCAGTAACTTGGATACCAGATGAGCTTGGGTAGCAACCTACAAAATCCACTCAACACCACAGGTGGTGGTCCTGTTGTGTAATGTTCAGGACTAGCAAACAATGGTGTACACCTGTGTAAATTATCACACAGACTTTTCTTGAACCGAATAATGATGTAACACTGATCCTGATGATGTCAACTGAATAAGCAGCCTTTGTTTGACAGTTTCTATACAGTAATCTTTTGCCTCATTTATATCACAGTAATCATAGATAACAGCAAAATGAGTGTAGGCTTGCATAAATGACTATAGCTAGATCTACCATTGTTGAGCAAGTTTTATACACTGCCTTTGTAACACGTATCCACTATAGTTGAATTCTGTAGTTTTAAGTAGTTGGATAGAATGTCACAGCAAAAAAAGGTGAACATAGTATTACATCATTTACTTGATTGTCATTTGATATGAATTGTATTAAGGATTGTTTTGAAGTTATGTGGATGCTTGCATGCTACATAAAGTTAAGATGCAATAAGCCTCTTGCCACTAGAGTTGTAAGAATATGTGACTTGAGATGTTTCCTCTGTGATGATTTTTTTGGTCTGGAAAAAAGGAACTTGCTTTTTGTAATCAGACATGTAAAAGGGAGTTTCACGTAAAATGTGGTGAAATAGAAAAATGCTAATAAATTTTTTACCATTCGAATTGTATGTGTTTGTCATTATTTGACTCTGTTGCGAAGATTTCCAGTCTTTTTTTCAAATATCTTCTGGAAAAAGAATAGCAATGAGAAGACAATCATTGAGTCATGTTTCCATCTGTGACAGTATAGTAAAAATTTTCATTGGATTCAACGGTGTGAGCTAGATGAAGTAACAACAAAAAGCTGATGATATGCATTGCAGATTTCATTTAATAACAAAATAAATTCATTTACATTGGTACAAAATGTGTAGTTCTTTCCTTTAAATCTCCTGACAACTGTCTCCATACGATGGTGACATTACTGATGTGTCAGTCTGAGATGCTATAGGTAACTGAAGAGAACAATGTGCACACAGTCTCCGTGCTCAACATCTGTAAGGGGAATGACGTGCAACAACCGTTAACAGAAGTGCAAGGCACACAGCTGTTGTACCCAGAGCCATATGCTTTGTCCACATAAGTCTATGTTCTTGGATATGCAGAGACTTTCCAGAACCGTGCCTGATCCTAACCTACAGTATTTGGGCATAGATACATATAGAACCAGATAGAGTTGGATCTAGATACAATAACAGCTTAGATATGCAACAGGTATGGTGTACAACAGTCTATCCAAATGCATATAGCCAGATGGTCTCTACAAATGCACTGTTACGACATCTCCAGTCTGAAAATCTTTCTGACACAGTGTACAGATCAGCGTCCTCTCCTCTTGCACCTGCATCAGGCACCTGCGACACATCAGGTGCAGACACGGCAGCTGTAGAAGGTTGCAAGAGTTCTGTGCAGCTGGTGAGTTGCACCTGCAGCAGCTGTTCCCACTTGGCCCAGCTGTTGATGTCGTATTGCCATGGATACCTGTACAGGATATATGTAGACATCAAGAAGCTTTCACACTTCAATAAAAAAATACTACAATTACTGAAATGTAAATACATGTATGCCAGTGTGCCAAGAACTGAGGATGTACATTGACCATTCTATTACCATACAGGTGAAAAAAGGTAACTTACACACAAAAATTCATGTACAAACGTAACTGCAAACACACCTCTGTTGGCGTGTAGTTCGTTATTATCTTCCTTCACTAAAGATGAGGCTGCTACTTGACTTATAGCTGGCTCTTTTATTCTCCTTTTGAATGTTGGAATCGACCCTAATGTTCTCGCTAGGGCAGCATCCAGGCTTTGACTCAGTGCCTCCTCATGGGACCCACTGTACGGCTGTTCACCAGTTACTTTGGGCCGTTTCCTGCATGGTTCCAATTCACTACCTTCAGTACATCTTTTAGCCAGGTTTTCTGATTGTCCAGAAGGGTCCTGTGCACACAGAAAAGTATTTACATGTAGTTCTGACACTTTTGGGGCATGATTTGATGCAGAGGCAGAGTTTGACATGTTGATTCGACCTTGTGAAGCTTGTTGTGCAGATGAATGTAGAGCTTTGCTTGTTGAAGGAGCCTGTTGGATAGTTCTTGAGTGTGAAATGGTTTGACTGGTTGTTGCTGAAGCTTGTGCCGCCGACCTTGTACGCCGTCCCACAGTGCGTCCCACGTTTGTAAGGTGTTTTCCTTCCTGTAGGAGAAACTTATCGATGCGGACTTTCAGTGCGGTGTTGGGTACGGGGTAAGAGTTTCGCGTGTACGGGACACCCGTGAAAGGGTCGCTGGGTGGACGGCCCCAAACCTCCTCTGATTGGCTGTGCTTGTCCAAAGTTGATTGGTCGACAGAGTGGCCCGATGGCAGCATCATGGGAAGGGCCATCAGCTCAAGGGTGATCTCATCCAGGAATTCAAGTGGGATGCTGGGATTGTCCTTAGATGACTCTTGTTGCAAATTTCTGGACACATCTTGGACTTCCTCCTCCTTACATGGAGGAGACTGTACAGAAGTTGCTGCAGGCTCCACAGGAGGTGGTTGTTTCAGGCTCTTAGAAATTTGGTGGACAAGACTGATAACTTCCTTGTTACAAGATGCCGAAGGCTGCCCGTAAACACGTACGGACCTCAGCACAGGGATGGAAGCACTCTGTGTGCGAACAATTCTTACCATCAGGTGACTTACTCTGTTCAATGATGCCAGCGATTTCTGCCACAAGTTGGTTTCATAAACATTGCAATCAAGAGCTCCCGGTAGGAACTCTTTTCCAACAAAGGGATGTCTTGGACTGTACCGGTTGTTCTTGAAGCAAAGAAATCTTCTTTCCTCCAAGAAGGCTTTTCCAACAAGATTGAATGTGTCAGGGTTTAATGCACTGTTCAGTGAAGCACTTGTGCTACTTTGTTTACTGTCTACCAGCCAGTTTTCTACACTTGCAGCTGAGTGTGTTAAAATCTGTAGCCCTAACGAAACATTTGATCCAACACATGGGTCAACGTCTATCCTTTGAATGTGGATGTGGAAGGGGAAACTGAGTATCACGTTGACAGGAGGTTTGATGAAGTATTCAGCTCGGAAACCCCTAGCACGGACTCGCGGATCAGCTGACACCAGGTTTGTGACGTCGTAGCCATCAGCACTCACTTTGTCACAATGGATTCTGGGATGCAAAGCTGGGTGGCAAAGATCCATGGGAAGGCTGCTGAGGGGTGGACCGGTTTGTTGTTATGCATTACTTGAATCTCACGTCTGGCAACAATTATCAGAGATCTGGAATACAGGAGATACATGTATAATATGACTACATTTATACATGTATTTGGATAACCATAAAGCACAAGTTCACATTGAACACAAAAATCTTATGACCGATCTGTATTAAAGAGGATGACAGCTTGAAAACTTAAGATGGTATCTGTCTGTAGAGTAGAGCAAGGAGCTTAAGAATAAAGAATTTAAGCTTTAAGCTGATTGAGCAGATCTTGAGCAGAGTTCTTCTATCTTCATATCTTTAATGACATCTGCAGGAAAGTAGGCTACCCGGCCCTGTGGACTGGTGGTGGCATGTTTTCCATAAAGCTCAGACTCCAGAAAACCGTAATACACCAACACCTCTAGAATTGCTGGCGTAAAAATACATAACTGTGAAGACTAGTGACCTGTTTGCCTAAATCAAGAACCTGTAAATAGATATTTAAAGCTCCTTGCCTAAATCATAACTTTGCCCCCCTCCCCCTCGACTCTCCCCGTAACGTTTCGATCTGCTCTCGCCGACATACACTCTGTCATCAGCTCCCCAGATATGCAAACAATCGCCGCTATCTAATTCTCCCATGGCCCGAGGCGCGTGCAGACGTGTCTACAAACCTGGCCGGGCGGGCGAGGAAGCAGGCGAGACCGACACCTGTCTTCCCTTGTCAGGGTTAGTCACAAAAGCAGACGAGACTTCTCACTGTTTTTACTCGAGCTCGAAACCCGGAAGTCTGGTGGACTATTCCACACTTGGGGGGTGTTTAATTTGTGCAAAGACATGTTAAAATGTATTGCAAATTCTATGAAATTCTGATTAGATGAAGTTTGACTACAGAAAGTTGTATTTTTGTGGTTTATAGAACAATTTGGTGCTGTTCTCATTTATATGTAAAGTTTGGCGTAAGGAAAAAGTGAAAACGAATGAATGAAAGTGAGGGAGTTGGACTGTCCCGGAAGTAGCGGTGCGGCGTGTGAAGTTTCAGCTGGCTGGAAAGCAGGAGGGAAGAAAGGACGGACGGAAGGACCCGCCGGCCGAGATTTGGTCAGTAAACCTCTTATCAGCATCGCTAACCCTTAAAACACTCAGGAGGAGTGAGATTTGGGTTGTATGCGTCGGAAGAATTGATTGAGAGTTTCTGTGCATGAAAAGTCGCTAAAATTGCGCTTCTTTTGTGGCGGTGTCTCCAGATGGGCGCGTTGCTGGCGGGAGGTTTGGGAACAGTTCTGGGGACAAGACAGACAAAAATGTCGACATTCTAACCCGCCGACGGAAGGACGTGACTTTCTGGACACTTTTACAGCAACTCAGGAACACACAAACCTCATAAGGTCAGTTATGGTCTTTTATTTATGTCACGGTTGAATGTATAGCGATGCAATTATAGATTTTCTTGGCGCGGGGATTTGCTTCGATTTCAAAAATAATTTATAACGGGAAAAACTCATAACATGGAGCCGAGAAACCAAAAAAGATGGAATGTTTTCGGTTGTTTTGCTGCTGGTCGCTATAGAGCTATAAGGGGAAAAAAATACAAGAACGCTTGAACTTTTTAGCAGTACGAGAATGAAAATATTGTCGTAACCCTAACACAATATTTTGAAATCCGACCAGCATAAAGTGCTTTTTGTTCAATAGGTATGCAATTGAATTTGTTTGTTGTTGACATCGGGATGGCTGCAAAATTCTTTTCCAGAATTTATGTGGGCTACCAAAACACAGTGAGAAATATCTTATCGACGTGTTATGTCATTAATGGTAACAAGTTTAATTGATTAAGCTTATTTATCAGTAAGTAAACAACCCAATCCAGATTAGAATTGTAAATCCCCCAGTTTTCAAATGGTGAGAAAAGTTACTTCATAGCCAATATTAAAATTTAGATGTAGAGTTCCTTTACTGTATTACATGATGGCTGTTGCAGCATTTTTTTGTAGATCAGAAACAAAACAATTACGTAATTAGTTGCAGTCCATCTCTTGTTTATTGTTTGTTTAATGTTCTGAAGCAGTAATAACAACTCATTGTTTGAGTTGTTGTGGAGAAGGGTTGATGGATTGCTAAGCAAGCTGCATTGTTTGGTTAGTATTCTTCTTTTCTCTGTAATCATTTTCAGTCTGACACATGATATACGTTGGTCTTGTGTCCATGCTTTGGGAGTCTTTGGGGAATTCAGTTCCTATGAGTATGAGCCAGGATTTTGCCCCCAGGCTAAATTCCTAGATCTCTAGGTCATCTTCTCGTGTTTATTAACACCAGTCGAGCAAATGCTCCCCTTGTTTTAACAACACGGTTCGAAAGTATGTGGTGTCCCCTGACCTCTTCTCACCGAAATCCCCATCTTTGACTTTGAGATTATTGTGTTCCCGAGTCTTTTGTCCCTTTTCATTCATTGTTGTTCTCACTGTTTGGGAACAACTACTATGTAAATGGTAGCTACAGCTCAAGTTGATTTGCTCATTGTCATTATAACAACAGGCTAATATTTTGGTAATTAAGACCGTGACCAGCCTAAGTACTGGGAAAAAGTGGGAACCAGCACTTTTATTGGTTGACTTGTCCGCAAACACGATTCCTGCGCCGTTATCCAATACGTGGCGAGCGAACCTTGCCATTGTTTTGATCCACTTCGCCGAAATTTCATTGTTCACTCCTGGAAAAAGATAGCAAGGCGGTGAATTGTGTATAAGCTGTGGTATTTGTTTTCTTTGCAGATCAGTTTTGAGATGTAAATGGTTTTGGAGAGAAGAAAGTGGCTACTGTTAAGAGGTGTAACTGGAGGAGGGGGGCATTAGCATGGCTAATGGTGGGGTGGGTTTACTGTGGGTTGGAGTAATCTGTCTGCAGAGCTGCTTCAAATATTTGTGCCAGCCTGTTCCCTAGAAATAAAACGTGCCGATCCTGGGATAAAATCAAAACATGAAAAATTGTTTTGGAAACATGGCTGTGTAGGATTTGGGACTTGTGAAGGAATGAAGGAAAAAAAACTTTTCTGTCGTTTTTGAGTTGAGAGTGACTCGTGGCATATCGAATGGCGAATGAATGGTGTAAAATACAGCCATGCCGATATGTGGGCATCGGGTTTATCAAATTTCAGTGCTCTATTTTCTGTTGGAAAGTCACAAAAATTTTGCTTCTGAATCTTTGCAGAATTGCCGTACATTGATAAAGTAGAAGTTGACCTAGTTATATAGTTAGTTCATGATACGCTGTGCTGTTTGCGGAACCCATCTGTTGTGATGACCCCTGACCTATCAGGAGCCAGGGGTTGTCATGCCGATGTTGTGAATGTGAGAAATTTGTTGCCAGTATGTTGCTGTGTGTGACATGGATGGTATGACATATGGAGGGGGAGGGGGGCAGGTTACAATTATACATGAACAGCATCCCTTCATGTGCCAAAAGGGGCTACGTCATTATGGAAAGTGTAATAAATAGAAATGACACTTTCATTGGCTTATTGTTCAAGATAAAAATTGTAGGTTTGAAATCCTATTTGAATGTATTTGACTGAAAATATTTTTGTGGCAGTCACCACTGGTTTAGAGTATTTGTATTTCAGCATACTCAAGTTTGAAAATAACACAGAACTTCAGAAGCTAACTATCCATTTTCTATAATTTTGAATCCAAAGTACAGTACAGTTATTCTAAATATAGCCAGCAGTTCTAAATATCCCACAGTATGAATGAGTTTGAAGTAGAGTATATTTTGATTGACTGGAGTGAAAAATTACATACTTTGGCTACTTACATCTGAAAATGGCATCACATTCACAGACACATTTTATTATTGGATACTATGGGCTTATGCTATATATAGGGTTCCAGATAACATCATCAATATGTAATATGTATGCCGATATGTATAATCTGTATGATCAAGGAGATTTAATAATCCTTGGTATAATCAGTATGACTTCTAGTTACACTAGCGTGTAGCTTACAAGATCACTAGTCAAATGACAGTGCTTTGATAATCCAGCCAAGAATCCCCAGCAAAATGTGTACGTTGAAGCAGTGAACACATGTTGAGACCTGTTGCCAGATTGAATATGCTTGCAGTAGCATACTGTTGCTGATAGGGGGCCTCATTGCACAGGTCTGGCCACATTGACGGATCATCGGATTTCGAGTGTGACTGAGTCAACCTACCTTATGTACCTATCACTAGTATCAGTAATAATGAATTGAAGTTGCCTTGATTTGGGTCAGACTGTATTTGTATGGTATATAAAACAATTTTTATGCTGGTAGTAATACAGTAAGAAGATTTTGATTGTGATCTTGGGAGGATCTCGTTTCATTGATAAAAACATTTAAGTGTAATTAAGGTACTAGTAGATAATTGTGTGCTGCAAGAAAGGTATTCACATAGTACCTGGGGAAATTTCAGTTACATTACTGAAGTTCCATTGTCTCTCTGGGGATATTCCCTTTTGGGAACATTCTATTGTTTCCCTGCTTGTGCTATGGCATGTTCCATACCATGCCAGAGTTCCCAAGTGATTCCAACATGCCACAGTCAGTATTGTACAGCCTACTACAGGACTTGCCATACAAAAGCTTGCATTGGCCATTCTGTAGTGGAGGTAATGTTGAATTGATACAGAAGTATGTGTTTCTAGTGGGACAACCTAGTCATCGTTTACACATTTGTAACCAAGGTGGACAAAAAATGTTCCCCTCTTCGGTTGGATTATCCCATTCTGCTTTGAGAAAATCCTCCCTTTTTTGCTTCAATGGTTTGTCCCTCTAACATAAGCCACCCTGGGAATTGTTCATGGGTCAGCTGATCTCCATTCCAAAAGTTTTCCCCCTAACCCCGCCTCCCCCTAGCCCTGAGCACTGTGTACACTTCCCAGTAAACCTATCTCAGTAAACAGTGTGCTTTTGTGCCGCCGCCCCTGCCTCTGGGCTCGTCTTATAGAACACGGGGCTCGCCCAAGTCAGAAGTGGGTTATTCTATCCACTCTCAGGACCGATTACTTACACAGTGAGGCTGTAATTGATTTTGGTGGGGTCCTGGATGATCAGTTTTCTTCCAGGCCCGCTGAAGGATCAGAGGACAGGAAACAAGAGTTAGCTGCAGAGGTTCTCAGGTCTGACAGGTCTGATCGCTTGTTCCTGGAGCCGGACTTCTCAACATCACTCAAAACTCTACTGGGAGTACAGCCAGGGGACCAAAGATGGGGGTCAGCAGGCAGCAACATGGTAAAAACTTTGCCTTTCCTTTCAGCTTGGGGCCTGAATAATGGACCCCACGTCGACCTTTTCAGTTCCTCCCTGCATGTTTTGTAGGCCGGGAGAGTCAGTAAAAGGTCGGTGAAATTTGGCTCATTGTCGGATGTGTTTGATTGTGATTTGTCAGGCTGTGCGCTGGTAACGCTTGCCTGAACATATTGATCATGCTGGCATGAATGTCACCGTTTTCCCATGAAAGTCATAGCAATTTTCAAGAGCTGGAAGTGCCTGTGGGGGTATATAATACTTTGAATGATAACTCAAATATGTACACCAAATGTCTGTATGTTTTGTACTTTTAAGTACAAAACATAAAATGGAAAACACCTTAACCCCAATACTACCTTGATACTACCTTTATTCTAGTGTCAGCCTCTCTAGCTTTCATCCGCTCCCCACAATCAGATTATCCGCTACCTCATCAAATATGAAAAATAACAACTGTTACCAATCATTGTTTGTAAGATGATTCTGGATGTTTTTCTTATAAATATTGCATCTCTCCATGCCAGTATCGTTCAACACTATAATTGCAGGAATATCAGGTTGTAACGTCCATTTATTGGGTTTATTTTCCACCTCAGGTGACCCTAATCAAAGTAGACGTGGTCGGTTTTACCCTGGAGAATTTATTGACTGGAGTTTCCAGGCAACTAAAGTGAAATTTCATGGGTTTAATTTTAGGAACAGTGGCTACAACTGCCACAACAACCGTCCTTGAGTTTTTGTCCTTGAGTTTTTGTCCGTGTTCTACAAGAATAACGCATAAGAAGGTTTTAATTGTTATAGTACGGAGAACACACCAGGGTTCATACTTAACTGTGTAAACTTGACCCCGGCATGTTTAACTTTGCAGATACTTCGACTCACTGTTTAGAAAGGGTAACATAAACATCTTTTATGTCCTTCGTTTTACAATGTGTGACACCCCACCCCATAACGGCTCTGTTAATGACTTTACCAACTAAACCAACACCACCCGGACTCTCAATGAACAGTTACGTATTAACGATGTCCAGAAAGGACCCTCTACAGGACAGGCCTGTTGGCTCGGAGACTGTTACAAACAGAACTGCCCAGTCTTATTTGCCTGCTGAACAACATGTCAAATGTTTGCTCTCCTTTAATGTTGCAGCTCTATTGGGAACGGTACTGAGAAGAGGACACTTAAAACTTGAGAAGTGTTTCTAAATATTGACTGGAAACTTTGTACCCTTTATAGTTGGGGAAGGATCAGTTTGTTTGTGAGGGACCTCAAACGGGCACTGTACATTTCTCAGGGTGTGTACCGGCATGGTGGGATAAATGGTGGGATCATAATGCCTCCGTGCCGACAGAGCGAAGTGTTCGCAGGGATTGACCTTTCTCGTGGCCCGGGTTGGTTTACAGAACAATCCGTCAGGCTTTCGCGGGATTGGTCGGTCAGAGGTCCTGAAATAGTAGATGATGTTTTGGGTTCGGAACGGAGTGAAGAGATGGTTTATTGGATCATTCCCACCTCCCAGATTGAATTTCTGCTCCTGTATTTTTCCCTTTCTGTGGGCCAATTTGTCTCTTCCGTTTCGGGAAGTGTTTTTCATTTAAAGTCCCTACATCAAGGTAGTTAGGTGATGTTTGTTTGGAAAGGTGATGTTAGTGTTGTAATTTTAGCTTGAATGTTTTGGAGCTGGTTGTGAAATTAACAGTAAGTTAGGACTTGTGGGGAGGAAAGCTGATAAAGACAGATAAAGACAGATCAGCTGTATCAGTTATCACACTGGACTATCAACATTATCACTTACCTCATGGAACTGATGTAGTACTGGATAAACTTTCATAAAGACTTGAGTCATGTCTTTGAATAATACATGGACTTGTAAGCACTTCCTGATGCCTGTTTGTATGTGGATATACCAGTTGATAATTCATGAACATCGGATAAAGGGTTGAATGGATCAAAAGGAACTATCGCTTATCAGTGATCTGTTATGTGCATTACCCTTTATCACATGCGTGGGTCCTTTTAGTACATTTGTTATTACAAGCTATCACCTGCTGTCATTTTGGATACTTTGTCATATCTACCTTATCAGTAGTATCAGTTATCAAAAGGGTATACCGTACATTTATAAAGTTGTATCACATTTGTACTTATCACATGGTTTTAATCATGTTTGCCAATCATACCCTGGGTTAAAGTTTGACTGTTATGACATGACATATCATACAGATGTGATATTAGTCCTCTATGGTAGAAGGGGTCAGGAGTATATTGATTGTCCTGTCACAGTGTTGACTTTTGAGATTAAAGAAGACACAAGGGTCAGGATGGTGGTGTGAGTCAGCTGTATTGTATTATATAAATCAACAGGAAGTCTGTACAACAGGTAGACAGGTGGGATTCCTCAGGATCCGCTCAGGTGTAACCTACAAGAACCTGTCTTGGAGAAGTTGGGTCACATTTGTAACGAATTAGCTACAGTTTAACTCCTGTTTCTCTCTTACTTCATCCAACCATAAAACAGGATGTAGGAACTTGATTAGCTCAGCTTGCTGCTGTGGTAAATGATTGTCTCGACACTGTCTGAAGATAAACCAATCAATTAGAAGGGAAGACTAACGATTTCCGTAACAAGGAAATGAGATTTTCTTGTGTTCCAACTCCAGCTGAGACCCTCTTAATGTCTCAGCATGGCCTCCATGGTCTCAGTGATGCAGAAATGAGGACAGATATTCATTAAATAATGTCTAGACTATAGTATAAATAATGAGCAAGGGATTTTGTAGGCCTGTTTTTTCAGCCCTTTTTGACGACGATCTGTAAACATAATTAACTCTTAAGTCGTACTGAGTAGACTCTTTGCAGGAAATACCAACGTTTATTGTGTATTGTGATAACAATGATCAGAAGTGGGACAGGTGGATTGTTGTTCTTTACCTGTGGACTATTGTTTACATGAGGGTGTTTTATGACATGGATTATGGTAGTAGGTAAACTTGCAACTACTGGAGAGTTACTACTGGTAATACTAATAGGAGGATGGGATAAAATGTATATTTAAATGGTAAATGTTTGTGAGGGAAAGGGGTATGGGTTCAAATTGCAGTTGGGAATGGAACTTCTTGATAGGTATAGACTAGTGGAATACATTTATTGAATAGATTAGGTCAGTGTACCTGGTTATAATTTATATATAAAAACTAGCTATAGGAAATTGGAAAGCTCTATTGTACTACCAGCTATTGACGAAACATTACAATCAAGTTTGACTGAAGAAAGAAAAGAAGTAACTCCTGTGGTGCCATCATCTCTTCCCAACTCTTATTCTTTGTCACTCACCCTGCTCCCCTAGGCACACATCTAACAACAACAGCCTAAAAGTACCACTCCTCTGTTTGTTGTCGGTCAGGAGGTAATTACTTGTGAAATACCGTCCTGCAGCCAGAAAGGCAACATTTTTACTTATCAGTTCAAATCTCAGGACAGGAGAATTCATTCCTTTCCCAGGCGGGACCTAAAGACAAGAGGCTCGCTTCGCAAGGCATCAAACTTTTCCACACGAGTGAAAAGAGTTACGGTGACGTCTAACTGGTTAATAGAATGTAATTAGTACTCGTGGTGAGTTAATGAGAGGGGAAAATTGTATTATAATTGTCAGGGGAGAGCGCGAGCGGAGATGACCTAGAGCAACAGGTTGCCTATCTGGCGTGTCGCCCACCCATGGTCTACTGGGTACTGTAAACACACGGGGTTATCCACAGAAGGGCCCAGGATAGGCACCTGTGCTGTGGGCGTGGGTGTTGCACTGGTGAGAGCCCAAGTGACACCTGTGGGTGAAGTGTTCTGGTGAGGCACTCCAGTGCAGATAGGAGAAGGCTTGGAAAGCACTGGTGAGAACTGAGAAGCCTGGGGCCTGCCACCTCTGTATGGAAGACAGGTGGACACTGTGACAGGAAAGAGTTTGTGGCATTACATTATAGAAACTCTGGATAAGGAACACTAGGCAGGAAGCCTGGTAGAACTGTTGAATCCTGGCAGACATCAGGACAGTGTGGTTGGACTAACATTTACAGAATCACCATGACAAGCAGTTCAGGTAAGATCTGTCAACTCTACCTTAAGTTTTCATAGTCTCACTCTTACATGTTACGAGAACATCTTCATGTATACTGTAAGCTCAAGGATATATTATGCATGTCACATACACATTGAGAGATAAATTTGGATCTGACTATGCTACACTGTACATATCATTTCATATCGTGTATGTATGACTAGTGGAGAAAGTGACCAGCCACTTCTATCTTGGTTTTCGTCAACAAAGGTTTAATTGTTGTCTAGCAATTGTTGCTATCAAGGCAAGTGGACAGGTAAACCACCAGGTGTGTCATTATCTGGCTGCAGAACTGTCCTTACCTTTGTGCAGGTGTGTTATTACCTGGGGAATTCCATTTTAGCTCAAGACACATAAACCAAACTGCTAAGCTGAAACCTTACACTGTCTGGCTTATTTTCTATAGTAGGAATGTCATATTCACAACTGCATCTCCTCAGTACTCTATGTTAAGTACTGTATGATTATGTTCTATTGGTTTCTCCTTTAGAGGATAAAAACTCCTCGGGGACAATGTGGATTGTGCTGAAGTGTCGATCATCATGTAGATATAAAGTCATCATTGTGGAATGTCCTGATGTCCTATTGTACCCACAGTTGCTCTGCTATGGCAACCTATAAAATGCGTGATGCACATTCAGAAATATGTCTGTACAAAGTCAACACAATGGACCCATTTTGCAGAACTGTACTTGAATGCACTATCAGGATGACTTGGGGGAAAAACTAGTTGTCCGACCCCGTTATTATTTACCGCTGCCTGAGGGCCCATGTTTCCCCGTAGTCAGGATGTTGTAGAACCATCAGGAAACAGGTTGTTGCTGCATACCTGTCCCTAATCTGCAGGTTGAGATCACCTGGATTCCTGCCCACCTG